GCACAAACCCGTGTCCCCTGCATCGGCAGGCGGACTCTCAACCACTGCGCCACCAGGGAAGCCCCTGCTGCTCATCTTTTGATCCGCTTTGGTGTCCCTCACTGGTTTATATTCCAGCCTGATTCATATAGATAATTGACCCTCTTGACAATACTTGAAGTTCAGACCATAAGGTATAGATTTCTACTGTCTTCTTTTATGATTAGCTTCTGTGTAGGTCATTGCAACACTGGAATATCAAAAGATGTGAGTCTCCTTCAATCCACACTAAAAAATATCCAAGTTTGAGCCCTTTCAAAATAGCTGCCACATGGCTTCTCTCCCCTCTGCCCAGAAATGTGGGACCCTTTTTGCCTGAGTGGACAGGGTTTAACTTGGTAGGCTGGATGTTGCCTAAGAAAGTCAGCCTCGTCATAGTAGAGAAAAGGCAGAACCGGTGTGAATTGAGGGCTCACCATGGACCAGACCGTCATCTCAGAGTTGTTGAAATGCCACCTTCTTTTATGATCTCTTTTTCTATCACACCACCAAACATCCCCCTCTTTAACCCCCAACCTAAACTGTGGTTAAACTTTTTATTTGTTGCCTCCCTTGAGTTTCACTGTGAATTTCACATTTAAGTTACAGTTTTCATGCATTTCTCAGTATTCCCCAGAGAGAAGTTGCAGGAGCCAATGAGAAAGCAAATTCTGTGCACTTCTGTACTCGTTTCATCTCTGGACTGTGCAGCTGACAGTTCATATTTTGGAGACCCCGGGTACCCTGTGAGTGTTGAGATGGGGCTCTCGAGTCTGTCTTGTTTTCTCTCCCACCAGCCCTTGTGCACCAAGGCCCTCCACATGCATGTTCTCTTCTATATTTGGTGACACTTGAAGGCTCCACGCCTTCTCCCTGACCTCCTACGGGAGTCCTCATACTTCTGTCTAATTTAATGTCTTATTGTCAGTGCTAGGGGCTCGGGGCTGTCTTCCTCCTGCTGTGGAGATATTTTGTGGCTGTTCGTCTTATAATTAAGGGGATCTGCTACCACCATTCCACTGGCTCTGTTCAAGGTTAAATTACCTCCCATCATTATAGGCCAGGAGGGGAGGAATGTAGTTACATGAGGCAAGACCTTTCAGATGCATGGGGGCCAGAGAAAGGCCCAGAAATAATGTTCTCTCCTATTTTCCTGTCCTCGTTTGACTGGTTGAAGCAAGTTACTTTGGTTGAGCTAAGTTGTTTAAGTGGGCACGGTAAGTGGCTGTGTGTGTGTGTGTGTGTGTGTGTGTGTGTGAGAGAGAGAGACAGAGAGAGAGAGAGAGAGAGAGAGAGAGAGAGAGAGTTAAAACAGAGAAATACAAACAGACTAGAAAAGAAACAATGAAAAATAAAACATAAAAAAGGAAGCAGAGAGAGAAATGAAGGTTTCCCAATCCTCAACAGAGCTATAATAAGTTATATTTCCTTTATTTGCCCAGTAAACCTCACCTCTTTATTTACTTTTGCCTTTTATTTTCCCCCTGAACTCTGCCCAGGGAGCTGCCCTCTGCATCTCTCTGCCTCTCTGTGCGCCTGCCCACCAACTTCTATTTCCTTTTCTTCCACAGATTTAATACAGTCTGTTCAGCTCTAGCCCAGGAGAAGGCTCTTTGTGGCTTGTATTTTTAGGTCATCTCTGCAGTCTCTAGTCTCCGCACCTGCCTTAATCTAAGGGTATCACTCAGGATGTTCTCTGGAATGTTCTACGACAGGATCTCCAAAAGGTTTGGCCTCTGTGGCCAGCACTTGGGAGTTTCATCTTAAATATGCCTGGTCTGCCTTTTCTGAAATTGCCTGGGTGTGGAGGCATCTGGGGACTGTAGGGTGGCCAGACTTATGCATAGACTTGAGGGTGCTGATGGTGGCGTGAAGGGGAGTGCCAAAACCAAAACAAAAGTACACCCAAGAAAAGCAGAGTCGGAAAACAGAGCAGAAAGTCCTGACACTGCAAGGTAGACGTGTTGTGTAAGAGATTATTTCTTCCCCTCCAGCAACCACCTGTGTGGGATGAGAAGGGTGTCTTTCCCCAAGCTGTTCACCCAGTCTCCACCTAGCAGGAAAGGGACTCCAGAAGTGCTGATTCTTCTCCAGCCAGCAGCAGCCAGTGCAGTGACCTGGTCACCAGTACTGCCAAATAGAACTTTAACTCACCCCAAACGTATGAAGACACTAAGATGTGGAGATCCCGTGCCAGATGCTGGTGTTCTGAAGGCTGACTACGGTAGAGAGGGAGAGCAGGGTTTGTTGCTTCACTGGACTTGGAGAGTTGCAGCGAGGGTGGAGTAGAGGGTGACTCCCAGGTATCCTGCTTGGGCAATAGGAGGAAGGTGATGATATCAGTGAACAAAAGGACCGTAAGAGGAGCAGGTTTGAGCAAGGTGGGGCAGGGAGGGAGCAGGGGGTGATATGTTTGGTTTGGTAGGTGTTGAGTGAAGCAGGCTGCTGAGGCATTCAAGTGGATATTCCAGAAAGGGGTGGAAGTATAGGTCCAGCGTTCAATGGGGAGTTCAGAATTGAAAACATGATTTAGGAGTCAGCACTGTAGAAAGAGTGTAGAATAGCTCTGATTTTAGGTTTCCCAATGTGGATAAAGGGAATAAATATCTGTTGCAAACTAATATATACATACATATATATATATATATATATATATATATATATATATATATATATGTCTCTCTTGCTGGTTCCTGGCACAGAGCTCCTAAAACCCTCGTCATTTCCCAAGTAATAAGAACACTAGGAGCAGGACTTCCCTGGTGGCGCAGTGGTTAAGAATCCACCTGCCAATGCGGGGGACACGGGTTCGAGCCCTGGTCTGGGAAGATCCCACATGCTGCGGAGCAGTTAAGCCCGTGCGCCACAACTACTGAGCCTGCACTCTAGAGCCCGTGAACTACAACTACTGAGCCCAAATGCCACAGCTACTGAAGCCCGCGTGCCTAGAGCCTGTGCTCTACAACAAGAAAGTCACCGCAATGAGAAGCCCGTGCATCGCAACGAAGAGTAGCCCCTGCTAGTCGCAACTAGAGAAAACATTCACGCAGTGATGAAGACCCAACGCGCCCAAACATAAATAAATAAATTTATTTAAAAAAACACACTAGGAGCATCTGTTTTCCTTATATTTGATCTTTGACCCCAGTTTCTGATACAGGGCTCTTGAAACCCTTGACATTTCCTGGGTGATTGATAGGAGTATCTTTTGTTCTAACGAGGCAATTCTGAGTGGGCCCCTGAATAGCTTCAGGATGTGGACTTGTCATCAGAAAGACTAAAAGCCATGATTAGAAACTTGGAACTACCCACCTCACCCACGCATCCTCCGGGGGGGAGAGGGAGGAGAGACCGAATTAATGATTGAGCCTGATTAGATGAAGCCTCCATGCACATCCCCAAATTACAGGGATTGGTGAGCACATCTACACGCTGGGAGGGTGGCACACCTCAACTCCACCAGGACAGACGCTCCTATCCTTTTCTGTATCCTTTATAACAAACACGTACAAGTAAATGAGTGTTTCCCTGAGTTTTGTGAGCCTTTCTAGAAATTATCAAACCCAAGGAGAGGATCATGAGAACCCCAATTTATAGCCGGTCAGTCAGAAATACAGGTGACAACCTGGGACTTGCGATTGGTATCTGAAGTGGGGACAGCCTTGTGGGACGAACCCTTAACTAGTAGGATCTGACACTAAGGCCAGGTAGATAGTGTCAGAACTGAATTGAATTGTAGGAGCCCCAGCTGGTGTCGCAGAATTGCTTGATGTGTTGAAACCCCAAGCATCTTGTGTCAGAAGTATTATGCTTGTGAGTAAAGGGGAAACACAGGAGTGTTTTCCCTTTACAGATGCCCGGCCAAACTCATGGGGTCATTGCAGTCATCAAATAAGACGATTTACGCAAAAGTATTTTTAACACGCAAAGGGATGCAATTGTAAGATCTTACTATTATTGTTTGACCACTGTGTTTATAATAGGGCACTTTGCGGTGTGGGATGTAGAGGGAGAGAAGGTGAAGCCCTTCTCTGAAGGAGCTTGCAGTTAAAGAGGGGTCTAGAAAGAATAACCATGCCTACTAAACAACGAGGAAGGTGAATTTTGGGGGCAGGGTTCTTCTAGGATTTGGATGGAAGAAAGGGTACAACGTGGCGAAAAATTGCTGGTGGGGAAATGGTAAAGTGTTCAGGCTCTGCTTCGTGATCCGAAGCCTAGGTGTGGCATTGTACGGTTGTTGGAAGAAGACTTTGTCCAAGTTGAGACACTTTTCTCATGTTCTCTTCCATCATGCAGGCAGTTTTTAGGACGCCTCCTCTCTTTGGAAGATGGCCCCTTGTCCATAACCCTGAAACACCCTGTCAGTACCTACTCCACAGGGACCAATAGTGTCCTTTGGCAAAGGATAAAAGCTACAGCCAGATTGCCTACATAATTTGCAGGGCTCAGTGCAAAATGAAAAGGCAGGCCCCTTGTTCACAAATTATTAAGAAATTCAAAAAGGCGACAGCAGAGCACGACACCAAGCACAGGGTCCTTCTAAGTGTGGACCCAGTGCTACCGCAGAGGCTGCCCATCCAGAGGCTGACTCTGCCTACAGAATTTCCAGCATCTGCTAGAGGACATCATCTGGGTCTCCACTTAAATTGAGGGGAAGCTCTTGAGTCTCCATGCATTCCACAGATGGTTAGATCACCACATCAAGCATCCGTTACGCGGTGGGCCAGCTCAGAAGTGGGCACAGAGATAGGAGGGTAGATAAGGCTTTCTTCCCTTGAGAAGCTTGCATAATCATAATAAAAAAACACACATAGTCTTTCTTGAAGGTTCAGTTTAAATGCTACTCCCCCAATCACTCATTTAGAATTTTCTCCTTTCTTCTATGTACCTACAGTACTCTGGACCTTGACTGCAGTCTTTCTTAGGGGAAATGGACAGAACTTCATGGCTGACTGGATGAGGGCTTGAACCCACCTTTCTGTCCAGGGGGTCTTTCCATTAGCAGGACTTCCCATGCCATGATGGGGTGAGAGGGTTGAGGAGGTACTGGTGTGCTAGGGGTAGCCAGGTGAGGCTGTGGCAGTCTAAGTCCGCAGCTGGCCCCTCTGGCCACGAGTACTGTACTTTCCATGCATGCCACCATCTGGAAATGATCAGGAAGCCCCGTATTCCAACACAGTTCTTCTCAGGCACCAGGGCTGATCAACCATGGGAACTCTCCACACCCACATTCACATACAACCTTCCTCCTGGGTTTTCACTGAGTTCTTACATGTCTTTTTACTATGGTATTTTAGGGCTTGCGACCAGGCCACGGGACACAGGAGTCACGGTCAGTGGGCCAGACCACAGCCCCACAGAGCATACTTCACTGATCTGAACTCCCTCCTCTTTTCAAATGTAGGCAGACACTGAAATCCTAGAAAGGGTTTGGCTGGTCTTCCTTCCTCCTAAATGGGAGAGACAGTGTTAGTGTAACTGAGTCCAAGCTTGTATTGCTCGCACCGCGACAGGCCAATACATCGAGAGACGAGTTTTTTAGGCAAAGAATAGAGACTTTATTTGGAAAGCCAGCAGACCAAGAAGATAGTGGACTACTGTCCAAAGAACCATCTTGTCTGAATTAGAATTCAGGCTTCTTTTATACTCAAAGAGGTGAGAGTGAAGTCAAACATTTCCTAGTTCCAGAGGTGATGTGTTCATTTCTTCCTTCCAGCAGCCATTCATAGGTGGGCCTGGTCAGGATGTTTCCTGTGAACTAAACAAAGGTATTTTAGCTTAATGCTCATTACCTGGGAGGCAGGGTTCCCAGGGATAGGCCATTATGTATAATTTAAATTTATAGGCCACATCCCTTTAGGGATTAACTTGTAATAGAATACAGAGATTCTTCCCTATGACATTAAGATCTGCCTGAGGAAGAGGATGACTTTTAAGCCCGCATGTCCCTTCTCTGCTTCCCTCCTACTCCCTCTACATCCAGAAGATGTTGATTCTGTCCCGTACATCCTGCTACATCCCTTCTTTTCTCTTTCCTTCCTCTATTTGCACCCCCCTGCCCCCGCACAGCATTGTCTAACCTCTACATTGCTTTGCCCTCACAGAACCCCTTTCTTTAGGCTGAGTTTTATCATTGGACCACCAGCCTACTACAGATCTCCAAAGCTTACTTTGTTGAGCTTACTGTTGGGGTGGTGCCTACAAGTTGAGAACTGAAGGAAGAGATTTCTCAGAGGCCTTGGTACCCGGATGAACTGGGTCTCTTTGGAAGAGCTGCTCTGCTCTTTAATCTGATGTAAATTGTGTAACCAACAGTGTTGCCCCTTTGGAATGGCTTGCTGAGAACCAAACCCGTTTAGGATTTTAAAAGCCTGCCTGATATTCAGGAATATCTTTCTAGAAATATTTTTGCGGAACTCTACCAAAATGTATAGGATTTTATCACATGTTATTGGAATACTAACCTTTCCCTTATCTTAGTTTCTTTTTCTCTCCTTCCCTCCGATTTTCTATTTTCATAATGATGTGGTGCTTGTATCATATGCTGCTTTAAATATCTTTCTAGAATGAGGCAAGGTAATAAATACATAAACAAACAAGTGAATACATAAATAGAAAGTAAACAAATTTCTAATATGTACTCAGAAAACGTCTCTCCTTTTTTGTTTCTTGTTTTCCACCAATTTCCTTTTCATTGCACCTCTTCCCCAAGCCCTCTGCAAAGAGGGGAGAAACACTGTGGACAAAACAAAATGCCTGACAGGCACGTGAGTGTCTGCCCAAGAGTAGGGAACACGTGACTAAATCATCCAATCACACGCGTTATATTGCTCAGTCCCATCGCTGGTGGTTTGCTTGTGTGTTGCACGAGGAGGCACGTAAGCACCTGGTGATGGGTGGGACATAAACTCCATGAAGGGAAAGACCGACCGAGTCTTTTCTTTAATCAGCTCTGGGCATCTGCTACATTTCTGGGCACGAGTGGAATGTGTTGTGGAGGAGGAGAATGGCGCTTCCGTAGGAGGCTGTGGATACTTCTGATGGCTGTTTTCAGAACTTAGATACTTAGTTCCAGGTCTGCAACTGGGGGCAAGGGAGAGAACCAGATGAAACTTTAGAATCATTTCAGCCTCACCATTTATGGGCCGGAGGTGGAGCCATACGCCACTGTAGATTCTTTCCCATGTGGTATTTTCCATAAATTTAAATCTTGCTGCTATACAAAGTACAGTGCAGATGCGTCTCGGATAACAGCTCTGTTTCTGGGCATTTTCTATGTAAATTGAGTCTTGCATAGTAAATGGGATCATTTAACATACAGCTGGGCAGCTCTCTGTTCAAGGGAACCCTGGAGTGAATCCTTTTGAAAGCAATGGTTCCTCTGTGACTTAAGTAATCACATTCTAATTTATATTTTCTCTTAATTTGGATTGGAACTTAAAGAGTTTCTTTATAAAGCTTTATTTAATGTAAGTAAATAAATGAGTGCATACCCTATTATATTCTTCCCGGGGCAAAATGATCATCCATGTATCATAATTGTATTTTAAGTCAATGATTTAAACATAGCCTTAAGAGAGATAACAGATGTCAGGAAAGGTTTCTGCTCATTAGCTCTTATAAAGCAGGGACATCCAGAGTCTAGTTTGTTCATGTAAGAATGGCTAGCCTGGTTCCTGCCCTGGGATGTCCTGAGTTCTTCGATGAAAGGCTACTGAGGATTGTGGGGTGGGCGACAAGCATGAAAAGAGAAGAACTGGTTTAAATCGTGCCTTGACTCAGTTGCTTCCTTTAAACCTGTTTGACCTTGAGCTGATTTCTTAAAATCCCTGAGCTTCAATTTCCTCAGCTTAAAAATGGACTAAAACATATACAGTCTCTGTAAGAATATGGAGGGACAAATTTCATAACACACTTTATAAAGTGCCAAATACAAAGCTTATTAATCATTGATGCAGGACAGGGTATTTTTTTGTTTGTTTTGTTTTGTTTTTCAAATTGACTTCTGCTTTTAAAACACTGTGTTTTCCTGGCAGCCTTTGATTCCAGTTTTTCTAATTGCTTACTCAGTTGTTTTAAAGAGTCCCTGAAAATTAGCAATCTTCCTTAGCCAAGACCGTCTTACCCCTTTATAAAGATGTGCATTGGGAACATTTATAGAGAAGACAAAGTTCGCCCTCTAGTGTGATCCATGAGAAAGACAGAATAAGAATATGAACTAGTTACAATGTGCATCTTAAAACACGCTGCTCTCCAAATGATATTTTATTCTATCATTTGCATTGACTCCTCACTTCTTTACTAATTTAGCTTGGCTACTAGGTATTTACTTAATCGCTCTTCAAATGAGCTCTTTATGTTTTATCATATTAGATATTCTGCTGGGTTTTTTTTTAACATCTTTATTGGAGTATAATTAGTTTTCAGTGGTGTGTTTGTTTCTGCTTTATAACAAAGTGAATCAGTCTGCTGGCTTTTTAAGCCATTGAAGACAAGTAAGATTTTCAGAATTAGTTCAGTTTTATTCTTTCCAGGTTTTTTATAGTCATAGATGTAATGTGAATGCTAAGAAGAATCTGCCTTGATTTATTTTGCTTTGATGTAATTTCAGATTAAATAAACTTAATCAAGATTATGAACTAGGGCTTCCCTGGTGGCGCAGTGGTTGAGAGTTCGCCTGCCAATGTAGGGGACACGGGTTCGTGCCCCAGTCCGGGAAGGTCCCACATGCCGTGGAGCGGCTGAGCCCGTGAGCCATGGCCGCTGGGCCTGCGCGTCCGGAGCCTGTGCTCCGCAACGGGAGAGGCCACAGCAGTGAGAGGCCCGCGTACCGCAAAAAAAAAAAAAAAAAAAAAAAAGTTTATGAACTAAAGTGGCTGATGCTGTGTCTTGTAGAAGATCCTGCTCCTGGTGAATAAAGAAAGCACAGAGAAACGAACGCTCTCAGAATTTCAGAATGATGCATTTAATCACATTCACGTACAATACACGACTGCATAAAATTTCTTTCCATGGAGTTACTGGCTACTTATATTGTTTTAAATTGACATGGGCCTGTCTTCCCCAAGCTTTGAGCTTTATGCTAACATTTTTCACTCCTTCTTGAAACACCTCAATAAAGAAAATGTAGCCATGTAAGTTTTAAGTTTTATTTATTTATTTATTTTTGGCTGTGTTGGGTCTTCGTTTCTGTGCGAGGGCTTTCTCTAGTTGCGGCCAGCGGGGGCCACTCTTCATCGCGGTACGCGGGCCTCTCACTGTCGCGGCCTCTCGTTGCGGAGCACAGGCTCCGGATGCGCAGGCTCAGTCGTTGTGGCTCACGGGCCTAGTTGCTCCGCGCCATGTGGGATCTTCCCAGACCAGGGCTCGAACCCGTGTCACCTGCATTGGCAGGCAGATTCTCAACCACTGCGCCACCAGGGAAGCCCGCAATGTAAGTTTTAAAAGCCACACAGTTAAATGTGCAAATATTTTACTATCTTTATTTTCCTATTACATGACCTATTGTGTATCCTGATTCCTCCTTCTGCCTTTTCGCAAAAAACTTAACCAAGTCACTCCCAGGTCTGGTGGTGCATCGGAGCTGGCTCCTACCAGCAAGAGTCATTGTTAAATTTTGAGGAATTTTACATGCTGGGTTATTATTAAAAATTAAATTGTATAAACTTACAAATAAATTATATTAAAAGCAAAGATTATAACTATGCAAAACTCATAACTTCCTGATTAGTTTAGGTTGGCATTATAATGTAACGCAAAGGTCTCCACACTTGCTATCCACTTCTGTGTCCATCCATCCCCAAACTTCTCCTCGTCCTGATATCTCAGTCTTTTTCATTCCAGGTCTTTGCCCAGATGGCCAGGCCATTCATGACTACCCGTGAGTCAGGCCCCTTCCCTTTCCCCACAAAGGGGACGATCAGGTGCTGTACCTGACTCTCTGCCTATTGGATGGTTTTCCCTCACCTTTAGCTTTCAAAGCTACCTCCCGAGCGAGGCTGTAGTGCAGCTGCCAAACACTTTCATCCGTTACCCACAAGACAAGGATTAACCATCTGAAACCAAGCTCTGGCTGTTCCCCCTCCTCTAGCTGATCCTGTAAGAGTCACCATTTGGAGATTGGTTCAAATGGTGGAGTAGAAGGATGTGTGCTCACTCCCTCTTGCGAGAGCACTGGAATCACAACTAACTGCTGAACAGTCATCGACAGGAAGACACTAGAACTCACCAAAAAAGATACCCCACGTCCAAAGACAAAGGAGAAGCTGCAATGAGATGGTAGGAGGGGCACAATCACCATAAAATCAAATCCTATAACTGCTGGGTGGGTGACTCACAAACTGGAGAACACTTATACCACAGAAGTCCACCTACTGGAGTGAAGATTCTGAGTCCCACGTCAGGCTTCCCAACCTGGGGGTCTGGCAACAGGAGGAGGAATTCCTAGAGAATCCGACTTTGAAGGGCAGCAGGATTTGATTGCAGGACTTTGACAGGACTAGGGGAAACATAGACTCCACTCTTGGAGGGCACACACAAAGTAGTGTGTTCGTTGGGACCCAGGGGAGGAGCAGTGACCCCCATAGGAGACTGAACCAGACCTACCTGCTAGTGTTGGAGGGTCTCCTGCAGAGGTGGGGGGTGGCAGTGGCTCACCACGGGGACAAGGACACTGGCAGCAGAAGTTCTGGGAAGTGTTCCTTGGCGTGAACCCTCCCAGATCCACCATTAGCCCCACCAAAGAGCCAGGTAGGCTCCAGTGTTGGGTCACCTCAGGCCAAACAACCAAAAAGGAGGGAACCCAGCCCCACCCATCAGCAGACAAGTGGATTAAAGTTTTACTGAGCTCTGCTCACCAGAGCAACACCCAGCTCTACCCAGGATCAGTTCCTCCCATCAGGAAGCTTGCACAAGCCTCTTAGATAGCCTCATCCACCAGAAGGCAGACAGCAGAAGCAAGAAGAACTACAATTCTGCAGCATGTGGAAGGAAAACCACATTCACAGAAGGACAGACAAAATGAAAAGGAAGAGGACTTTGTACCAGATGAAGGAACAAGAGAAAACTCCAGATAAACAACTGAATGAAGTGGACATAGGCAACCTTCTAGAAAAAGAATTCAGAATAATGATAGTGAAGATGATCCAGGACCTCGGAAAAAGAATGGAGGCAAAGATTGAGAAGATGCAAGAAATGATTAACAAAGACCTAGAAGAATTAAAGAACAAACAAAGAGAGATGAACAATACAATAACTGAAATGAAAAGTACACTAGAAGGAATCAATAGCAGAATAACTGAGGCAGAAGAACAGATAAGTGACCTGGAAGACGGAATGGTGGAATTCAGTGCCACGGAACAGAATAAAGAAAAAAGAATGAAAAGAAATGAAGACAGCCTAAGAGACCTCTGGGACAACATTAAACACACCAACATTCACATAATAGGGGTCCCAGAAGGAGAAGAGAGAGAGAAAAGACCCGAGAAAATATTTGAAGAGATTATAGTTGAAAACTTCCTTAACATGGGAAAGCAAATAGCCACCCAAGTCCAGGAAGTGCAGAGAGTCCCCTACAGGATAAACCCAAGGGGAAACATGCCGAGACACATAGTAATCAAACTGACAAAAATTAAAGACAAAGAAAAATTATTAAAAGCAACAGGGAAAAATGACAAATAACATACAACGGAACTCCCATAAGGTTAACAGCTGATTTCTCAGCAGAAATTCTACAAGCCAGAAGGGAGTGGCATGATATACTTAAAGTGATGAAAGGGAAGAACCTACAACCAAGATTACTCTACCCGGCAAGGATCTCATTCAGATTCAATGGAGAAATCAAAAACTTTACAGACAAGCAAAAGCTAAGAGAATTCAGTACCACCAAACCAGCTCTACAACAAATGCTAAAGGAACTTCTCTAAGTGGGAAACACAAGAGAAGAAAAGGACCTACAAAAACAAACCCATAACAATTAAGAAAATGGTAATAGGAACATACATATTGATAATTACCTTAAACGTGAATGGATTAAATGCTCCAACCAAAAGACATAGACTGGCTGAATGGATATAAAAACAAGACCCATCTATATGTTGTCTACAACAGACCCACTTCAGACCTAGGGACACCTACAGACTGAAAGTGAGGGGATGGAAAAAGATATTCCATGCAAATGGAAATCAAAAGAAAGCTGGAGTAACAATACTCATATCAGATAATATAGACTTTAAAATAAAGAATGTTACAAGAGACAAGGAAGGATACTACATAATGTTCAAGGGATGAATCCAAGAAGAATATATAAGAATTATAAATACATATGCGCCCAACATACAAGCACCTCAATACATAAGGCAACTGCTAACAGCTATAAAAGAGGAAATCGACAGTAACACAATAATAATGGGGGACTTTAACACCTCACTTACACCAATGGACAGATCATCCAAAATGAAAATAAATAAGGAAACAGAAGCTTTAAATGACACAATAGACCAGATAGATTTAATTGATATTTATAGGACATTCCATCCCAAAACAGCAGATTACACTTTCTTCTCAAGTGCACATGGAACATTCTCCAGGATAGATTACAACTTGGGTCACAAATGATGCCTCGGCAAATTTAAGAAAACTGAAATCATCTCAAGCATCTTTCCTGACCACAACGCTATGAGATTAGAAATCAGTTACAGGGGAAAAAATGTAAAATACACAAATACATGGAGGCTAAGCAATACGTTACTAAATAACCAAGAGATCACTGAGGAAATCAAAGAGGAAATCAAAATATACCTAGAGACAAATGACAATGAAAACACGATGATCCAAAACCTATGGGATGCAGCAAAAGCCCTTCTAAGAGGGAAATATAAGACACTGATGAAAGAAGTCAAAGATGACACAAACAGATGGAGAGATATATACCATGTTCTTCGATTGGAAGAATCAATATTGTGAAGATGACTATACTACCCAAAGCAATCTACAGATTCAATGCAGTCCCTATCAAATTACCAATGGCATTTTTTACAGAACTAAAACAAAAAATCTTAAAATTTGTATGGAGATACAAAAGAGCCTGAATAGCCAAAGCAGTCTTGAGGGAAAATAATGGAGCTGGAGGAATCAAACTCCCTGACTTCAGACTATACTACAAAACTACAGTAATCAAGGCAGTATGGTACTGGCACAAAAACAGAAATATAGATCAATGGAACAGGATAGAAAGCCCAGAGATAAACCCACGCACCTATGGTCAACTAATCTATGCCAAAAGAGGCAAGGATATACAATGGAGAAAAAACAGTCTCTTCAATAAGTGGTGCTGGGAAAACTGGACAGCTACATGTAAAAGAATGAAATTAGAACACTCCTTAACACCGTACACAAAAATAAACTCAAAATGGATTCGAGACCTAAATGTAAGACCGGACACTATAAAACTATCAGAGGAAAACATAGAAAGAACACTTTTTGATATAAATCACAGCAAGATCTTTTTTGATCCACCTCCTAGAGTAATGGAAATAAAAGCAAAAATAAACAAATGGGACCTAATGGAACTTAAAACTTTTGCAAAGCAAAGGAAAGTACAATCAAGACAAAAAGACAGCCCTCAGAATGGGAGAAAATATTTGCAAATGAAGCAACTGACAAAGGATTAATCTCCAAAATATACAAACAGCTCATGCAGCTCAATATGAAAAAGAAAAAAAATGCTAGCAAAAAATTGATACAGCCACTATGGAGAACAGTATGGAGGTTCCTTAAAAAACTAAAAATAGAATTACCATAGGACCCAGCAATCCCACTACTGGGCATATACCCTGAGAAAACCATAATTCAAAAAGAGTCATGTACCACAATTGTCATTGCAGGTCTATTTACAATAGCCAGGATATGGAAGCAACCTAAGTGTCCATCAACAGATGAATGGATAAAGAAGATGTGGCACATATATACAATGGAATATTACTCATCCATAAAAAGAAATGAAATCGAGTTATTTGTAGTGAGGTGGATGGACCTAGCATCTGTCATACAGAGTGAAGTAAGTCAGAAAGAGAAAAACAAATACCGTATGCTAACACATATATATATGGAATCTAAAAAAAAAAAAAAAAGTAGTTCTGAAGGACCTAGGGGCAGGACAGGAATAAAGATGCAGACATAGAGATTAGACTTGAGGACACGGGGAGGGGGAAGGGTAAGCTGGGACGAAGTGAGAGAGTGGTATGGATTTATATATACTACCAAATGTAAAATAGATAGCTAGTGGGAAACAGCCACATAGCAGAGGGAGATCAGCTCAGTACTTTGTGACCACCTAGAGGGGTGGGATAGGGAGAGTGGGAGGGAGATGCAAGAGGGAGAAGATATGGGGATATATGTATATGTATAGCTGGTGGTGGTCAGGAACTATGCAACCGAACCTGCAATATCTCTAGGGTGTGCCTGTAAACCAGTAATCTAATAAACAAAATGTCCTCTGAGTTATCTGAGTTGCTCTAGCAAGCTAATTGACCCCAAAAGGGGGTTGTGGGAATCTCTGATGTATAGCCCATCGATCAGAAGCATAAGTGACAACCTGGCTTGTGAGTGGCATGTGAAGGGGAGGGGCAGTCTTGTGGGACTGAGCCTCAACCTGTGGAATGTGATGCTGTCTCTGGGTTGTGTCAGAATTGAGTTGAATTGTAGGACCTCCATCTGGTGTCCAGGAATTTCTTGGTGTGGAAACTATCCCCGACTCCACACATTGGAATTGGGTATCAGAACCTTTATCAGATCACTCACATTTGCCATCCTCCAGGGATGCAATATTGCTTGTGATTTCTTTTCTTGGCCAGAGGAGGAGGTCAGGTTCAGAGACTTCTACTTTGATTTCCCTTCTTTGAAAGCTCTTAACCCACAGAACAAGGTGTCAGCTGCCTAATATGTTGATCTCAGTTATATATTTTGAGACTGGAGAAATGACGTGAAGTGGATCCAGTAGACCCAGTTTGACCCACTGTATGCTAAATGTGGTCAGGATTCTATTTCTTACATGGCTTCTATATGCCCCGACTCTAACAGGGGGAGAAGCCTGGGGTATTTCATGTGTCTGGGTGTTAATTTCCATTCAGATCCTGTGTCCAACCATTCTTGAGATGTCTGGCTAGTCCATTTTCTCCAGGGTGCAGTTATACATAATTGGCTGTGGGTCCCTTTGCAGAAGGACTGGGGGAATCACCATTGTGTGTATTTGACGAGATGTTTCAGATCCTTCTGAGGACCTGGCCACTTCATCAATCAGAGGGATGCAGGTCGGAAAACTGGCTCAGGTCTGGGAACTGGGAAAGAGATTGTGACTGTTTATTGGGTAACTACCCTTAGCCTACTGGTAATCCACCCTTGATTTCTTCTGCTGGTACAAACTGAGTAGGATCTTTGTCAGTTGTCCATCTTTATTTCCCCCAGGGCCCCTGTAGTGTCTTAGCCATCTCTATAACTTGTAGAGACTCCACAACAGTTTTGCCAGCCCCCTGAGACCCCTCAGACTTTTGGCAGTTACGTCTCATCACCAGACCACTACTGTTTTGGTATTGCATCATTTGATTGCTCTTGGTGAGCCAAGTTCTGTAAACAGCTTCTCCTACTGTCAGCCTGGACCTACACAAGGGAACCACTGCTGAACTTCTTAGTGATGCTGGTGCCCCTCTCACCAGCACATTCTTGTGGCCTTGGTGTGTTTTGTGTCCTCTGGGTCCTCCCATGGGACATAATCATCTGGAGGGTCT